CGGGGACCGGCAATGGGATCGCAACCCTCGGTGCCGCTCCCGCGCCTCGCTCAGCCAGTGAGCGGGAACCGGTCTGTATGTGGGATCCGAACCCTCGGGCGGGAGCGCCGCCGCGCTTCCCAAGCGGCGCACTATCCAGTGTGCCACCGGGCCGGCCCCCACAGTAGCATCTTCTAATCTCTCTCTCTGACTCTAGCCCTCCTATCTCCCTCTTATGAGGACCTTTGTGATTACATTGGATAATATATCTACCTGGATAATCCAGGATAATCCTTCCGTCTAAAGATCCTTAATTTAATCATGGCTGCAAAGTCCCTTTTGCCATATAAGGTGACATATCCACAGGTTCTGGGAATTAGGACATTGAAGTCTTTGGGAGCCATTATTTGGCTACCACACTGCCACGGTCTCACTCCATGGCTGATCATTTTGGTTTGATTTCCTGCCCTGAGGAGTGGTCCCTGGATGCCCTCTAGTTGATCGTTGAGACTGTTTCCTGGGCACAGAGACAGCCCAAGTCCCTTTGTCCATCTGTAAAGCCTGGCACATATGCCTTCCTGGCTGGGCCCTCTGCAGGGAGGTGGCAGCCTGGGGCAGGGCCCGCCAGTCCTGCTTCTGACTCTGCGTGGCTTTGGTTAAGTGTGCCAGTCCTTATACTGGGAACATTAACACCTCCTCTGGGAAGGATGCAAAGTACCCAAAGTGTGGCATTGCAGCGCTGGGACTTCATACATGCCAGGGCCCTGGCCCCCAGACCTCCACTAACTGTCGCCTTTCACTGACACAGGTCACTTTTGCAGGTAACCATCTTGAGTTTACTTCAATTCATAGGGTCTCAGAAACAGAGGGAGCCCCTGTTTGTTTATGATGCCCCCCCACCTCCTGCTCCCCACCCAAGCCTCTTCTCAAGGCCAGGTCTGACTGAGGAGCCCACCAGGCACCCCCACCCGGGCTGGGACCCTCTTTTATCAGGAGGCTCCTAGGAAGGAGCAGGTTGCCGTGGTGACAGCATGTGCAGGGGAGCCAGGTGAGCTATTTTTAGATATAGAGCTTTTTTCCATCTTTGGAGGAAAATGGATAAAGTTTCTCAGTGGAGAAGCCGTATCAGGGGGCAGCATTTTGAAACCAAAAAGGTACTCAGGCTGGTTCTGGATTGGGGAAGGAGGCGACACATGGCGATGTGGAGCCAGAGGCCCCGAGACCACCCCGTTTGGCACTGCCTCTTGCTTGTTACTCTGGGGGGAGCTTGGCTTCGCCCTCACCTGCCCTCAAGCTCCTCTGTGGGGACCCCTCCCCTCACATGCTGTGGCTGGAGGACAGGAGCAGCAGAGGCTGGGAAGGGAGGCCAGTGCTCGTGCTCACACTGTGCCCACACCCGGCACTGGGCTGGACGAGTTTGGGAGAAGCTTCTGTTGAGATAGGTTCTGGCAGAGGGACAGGACTGCAGTGGAAGGGGACAGGCCAGTGGAGACTGGGGAGGGCGGCAAGAGCAGGGGCCCAAGGAGGACCCTGGGAGCCCCAGCAGGATCCTGGGCAGAGAGGGACATTCAGACAGCTCATCCAGCCTTGGGTGCCAAGAAGGCAGGAACCCCCACCCACCTGTGCCCAGCAAGGCCTGGTGCAGTGCCACCAGCAGCCCTGTGTCCTGTCTCTTCCTTGGATCTTCAGCCTGTCCTGGGGGTGCCACACATGGAGACCCTGTGGCCTCGGCCTCACTCAGGCGCTTTCCTACTTCTGTGCCATGCCGCAAGCCATGGCGGGATTTCTTTTCTCCTTTCCTCTGCCTGAGGCCCAGAATGGGTCACTTCAACTGAGCAGTGCTCTGAGCCCTCAGGCTTCGTCCCTTGGGCCTTTACCAGCCTCTGGCCAACTAGAGGAACATCTGTGGTGTCCAAATACTTTTTAAAAAACATGGTGGCTTCCTCGAGGACAAAGGGAATAACTTGCTTATCTCTGCATGCCCAGAGGCCCGGCATGGCCATGGGGGAGCCTTGCCCTGAACCCTCCCACCACAGCACCCCCACCTGACCACAGCATGGGTGGAGGCCTCGTCCCCTGAGCGGCCACGCCCGTCTGGGGCTCCCATCACAGGGCTCCAGACCCCCGGGCAGTGCGTTCATTGCATTCCGGTGCAGTGGACGCTGAGCAGGGCACACATCCTATTTTTCACAGTCTGCTTTGCAAAGAGACGCCCACCACAGGGCCTCTGAGGAGAAGCGAGCACAGCAGGTGTCGGTTTCAAGTGAGAACTGCGGGGGGCGTTGCACCCCCCGCCAGAAAACAGCCATTTCCAATCTGCGTTGTTAGTTCCTTGAACACTCAATTACCTCAGCTTTGGTGACTTTTATTTAGATTTCAGGAGGTTTGTTAAGCTGCCTGGGCTTGATCACAGAACCCAATCAGCCGGATGCTGATAACAGACAGAACGTGCCTTGAGGTGGGAATCCAGCAGGATGTCAAGGGACTTAAGCATGTCTGAGAATGAACAGCCCAGTTTCTCAGTGGCTGCCTCCTCCCCACTTGCACATGATGGGTCACCTCCATGACTACAAAGGATTCCGCAAGTACCACCCCAAAAGAGGAACAGGTGGCGTGGAGAGGAGTCTGTCCGAGACCCTAAGCCTCCTAAGCAGTGGAGCTGGGAATGGTGCCGTGATCTTTACAGAGAGCCTGGTGCCACCCCATGGCCCTGGAGGCTGAGAAACCACAGCAGCTCGCTAGGCCGGGGACTGTGGGACTAGAGAAAGCAGTGCCTGCTGGTGTCCTCCAACCTGTCCCAGAGCGGGGAGGCGGGGAGGCGAGCCCTGCCTGGGGAGTGGCACTGGTTCTCTGGTCCCCTGCCACAGAAGAGGACCCACCTCACCCCAGGCTACAGCTGTCAACCCTCTGCCCCACTCAAGCAATGGGGAGAGGGAGCCTGAGGTTTTCTGGGAGCTTCCAAGAGAACAGGGAGCACGAGACCATTGACAGAGGAGGTGCTCAGACAGGAGCCAGGGGGTGGGAGTCAGGGGAGGTGATGTCACGCTGGGCGTGTGCCCTTAGAGGACTTTTGGGAGGAGGTGGCAGCATTACAGCTGTGCACTGCAGCATGTGAAGTGGTGGTGGTGGCATGGGAGGAGGGTGCTACTCCAGGGACAGGAAAGAGCAGGAGCACGGGGACAGAGGTGGCATGGGCCAGTGCATGGAGCCTGAGTGCACTTTAAGCAGCAAGTAAGAAAGAGAAGCTGAGAGAGTGCAGGGCGGGAGGCCTGGGTCAGATGGGACAGGGAGTCACTGAGGACTCCTGGGGACAGGCATGGCCCCCACTGAGGCACTGCCAGTCCTGCCTGACTGTGGAGCCAGAAGAATAACAGGTCTGCCTTCTCCAGAGTGGGTCCTGGGGACACTAGTCCTGCAAGAAGTTCTGCAAAAAAAGGAACTGGTGATAAAAAAAAATAAAGGAAAACAAAAAACCAAAAACCTTTGGGAATTCTGATGAATGACACCTCTCTCCTCAAAGAGGTAGGCGACCAAGGCTCTGAGAAGATTGACCCTGAGGACACTGGAAGGCATGTCAGGACCTAATCTGATGGAAAATCAGATAATGATAAATAATAGATTGCAAAACCCTGGCAAGTAGATGGGAAACATAAGCCAGAGCGCTGGCGTCGGATCGATCCTACGGGCCTCTCCGTGGGCCCATCTCCCCTCCTTTCCTGCTGATGAGCTCAGGGTGCACCCAGGGCATCCAGGGAACCTGGTGAGACCACATCCAGGCTCTCCAACAACTGCTCCTGGAGAGGGGTGCAGGGGTCGCACCCTCACCAGGGACGACTATTAGCAAGGCCAAGGTGGGGGCTAGGCGATGGGGCTCCTGGGTCTGACACATAAAAGCCAGGCTTGGCTTCCATTCCACCACTTCAGGGGCAGAAACTTCATCCTACAAATACAAATCTGAAGGCAGGTACCTACGGCAGCTGAATCTCATATCTTCCCAGGTAAAAACGCTCCCCAGGACCCCTGGGCTGGCTAGAGAGACCGAGGAGCATAAATCTTGCAGGACAAAGAAACTCGCCTCCTTCCCTGTCAGTGCAGGGAGCCACAGCACATGGTCAGAGCCATGAGCCCACGCAAAGGGTGATAAATAGGGGCATGTGAGTGAAGGTTAGGACGCCACGGAGCCCGGAGCTCCCTCCTCAGCAGAAGGCTGTGACCCAGAGCTGTGTACTGTCCTCTTCTGTCCTCAGGATGACGAACGGCTCTGGGCAGCCGGGCCCACCTCCAGGGAAACAAGCACAGGCACAGAGATGGAGCATAAAAATAGAGGCGTGTGCTCCAATTATGGCATCTGCTGTGATACTAAAGACAACCTGCCACCCACAGCCCCCTCCAGCCGGCAGAGCGCCCAGCCCACCTCCGGCCTCCACCCCAAGTGAGGTTTCCATGGGGTCTCCCTGAAGGAACAAGGGTGCTTGCCCTGGTCCCAACACTGCAGAGAGCTGACCCTTTCCAGGCCATCCAGACTCAGTTGCCCTCCCTGTCCAGGTTTGCGTCTCGCCCCAAGGTAGAGAGGAGGCTGTTGGGCCAGGACTTTGACAGGGCTGCTCCCCAGCCCAACCTGAGGCAGGTGCAGAGGGACGAACCTTGTGCCAGCTGGGCTCATGAGGCTGCCCATAGCAGCCCACTCCCCTCTTCTCTGTTGCCCACCCGAGCCCCTGTTTAATGGGCAGAGGAGGGCCCGAGAGCAGAAGCACTTAGGCTCCTTCCCCTTCCTCTGATCTGCTGGGGTTGAGACCAGGAACCCACCTACATCTCAGCACGGTGGGCGCCTCCCAGGTTGGTTGGTTTATAGACAACAGTGCGCCTCCCCTGGGGCCTGCCCTAGCTCTGCACCAGCCTCCACTGCAGGCCTCTCCAACCCATCCATCCGCCTGCCCGCCGGCCTGCTCAGTCATTCAACAGAAACTCTTGCCCATAGGTTTGGCCTCCTGGTCGAGGCGACTGCCGACTCGGGGATGGGAAAGGCATCGATATTTTTAAAAAGTTTCTCCAGGAGATTTTACGCTGTAGTCAGAGCAAGAACCACTGCGTTATATGCTACCTAAGGTCCCACCAGCTTTAACATCCGATAAGACTAGGTTCTGGCCACACACTGCTCCATATTTGCCCCCCACAGCTTCAGGTGTGGTGGCCAGGCATCCTGGCTCCCAGGGTGCCCTCTTCAGTGCTGCCTCCGGGAAACCAAATAAAAGGAAAAAGTTCTCCCGTTATCCTGACATTTCAGGAAATCAAACTATTTCCTTTTTTCCACTTTGAAGTCTAGCATTTGTCCACATAATACAAATTCAATTTTTTGTTTTGCTTTTTCACCTACTAGCTCATACACCTTTCCTGTCTCTATGATGTGGTTACATGTTAGCGGCTGCCCCAGCTCCCATCTGGTCATGGGCCATGACCACCCCATGGCACCAACTGTTTGGGCCGTGGCAGGAGGGCTTCTTTCTGCCCTCATTGGTACGTGGGGAGATGCTGCCCTTGGCCCAACTCTGAGTGCAGCTCTGTGAGACCACTGACCCTACAGATGGGCTAGACAGACACTGAACCCACACCTCTCCCAGCTGGTCACCAGGCACCACTGGAGCTGGTCACTCGGCTGACAGTTGTGGGGTCAGTGATCCCTGACCAGTGACAAGTATCCTTTAATAGACAGTGAAGCCACCCACCTATGTGAGTGTTTCATTTGACACAAGGCAAACATCTATCTCAAGGCCAAAGCAAGTGGGGCTCAATTTTAAAGCGAGCTTCTGGCTACCCACACATGAGAACCCCTGATCTGTCTCAGATGGTGCCAGCACTGTTGAAGCGGGTCACTGGAAACTACTAGTTTACGGTTTCCTGGCCTGAAGACAGCCAGAGCTTCTTATCCTTGGAAATCATTAGAAGTTCACGTAATCACATGGAAGAGTTTTCCACAAGCAGCTGCTTCTAGGTGTCAATGCTGGAGGGCAAACTGAGTTGGGGATAGGGGTTCCGTCACCAGGAGCCGTGGGACCCTGAAGGGGCAGGGGCCGCATCTCCACATCCCAGATCATGTGTGCAGGAGGTGCTAAATAGGAACCCGCTGAATGAATGGGTGACCAGAGAGAGAACGGACTGGGAAGGTGCTTTGTACACTGTAGGGTGGTGTGCGGGTGTGAGCAGTAAGGAGGATTAGGTGCTTTGGGTTAGGAGAAGGGTCCAGGTTTCGGGTTTTCCTTTGTGCCGCCCTTGCCGCTTGAGCTAATAAAGGAGTCAAAAGTGAATGGATCACAACCTGTGGTCCTGTGATTCGCCACCCCCCGGGCCAGGCCTCAGCTGTGCAGTTCTTGTAGAGAATCTCCATCCCACCCCGCAAGCCTTCTCCGGGCTCCCTCCTGCCTCTTCTGGTGGCAGCATGGTCACTGGGCCTCCAGGAGGCTTCTTAACAGTTACTGACAGCCTGGGTTGGCTGAGCTCTGTGAGGAGGGCACAGAGGAGGCAGAATCTCATACTCCATACAGGCAGATTTGTCTCGAATGAACAAGGGGATGAAGGGGCGCCTTAGTTTAGTGGCCCAGGTAAAAGATGGTCTCCCCTTTCATGTCTCAAGCAGACCTGGAAGTCCCACTTAGCTCTGTCTGTCCCCTTGACCTTGCACAGTTCCTTAACATGGTAACCTTCAACTTTTCATCTGTAAATGGGTCATCGCCTATAAAGTGCTTAGCACCCTGCTGGGCCTACAGCGAAGGAGCTACAAGCATCGGCCATTATTACCTGGCTGTAAAATTGATCCATGTTCAATGCAGATAAACCAAAAAGCTCTGTAGAGAAAAATAAAGCATAAAGTAGCAAAGAAACTATCTCTAGCAATTCTGCCCGAGATATCCTTAGCTAGCTTGTCTGATGCCAGAGCCGACTTTGCCCTGTCCACTCAAACAAGCTGCACAGAGTGGGGACTGCCTCCCCTGTTCCCATTCTATGACTGCCGGGTCACCAAGGACAGCACCCAAATAAAACACCTTTCTGGGGCCTGTAGGGCAGATGGAAACTCTTGTCCCTTGACAGTCATGTGTGCAGAGGGCCGTGCATACCTGAAGCCAGCTTAATATAGCTACCTACTCCCTGCTAGTCTGGGTCACTGGAGCCAGTCCCTGAGCCCTGACCATCCAGGCTGCAAGGACTGAGAGAGCAGACAGACCTGCGGAGCTGAGGACCATGCTGGGCAGAGTGGGCCAGCTGAAGGCCACCTAGAGAAGGCCGTTTCTAATGGCAACACCAGATAAATAAACTTGGTAGAGCTGCGTTCAAAGCGAACAGGCTCAGAGTGAGGCTGTGAGAAGGGGGTGGGGATTTTTGTGGAGCCTGTTTGGGCTCCTCCAAAGCTCCTTTTTATTCCTCTCCTACTTCTGGGTCGCTGACCGTGGAGCTAGAGCCTGGCATGTACCCATTTATTTGCCGGCATCTGAACATTCTTCCTGGACGACAGATACCAAGGGGTGGTGGACAGTCCTCCCTGGTGATCCACTAAGTTCAGGAAGCCAAAAGCACCCTTGAGCTGCTGGGGGCTGTGAGCCCTGACCCAGAACTGACTGGGAGAGGCTGATGATGAGGGTCAGCAAGGCCACAGGGGCCATTCCGGAGACTGAAAGACTTTAAGGCCTTCTCAATTCCCAGTCTAGGTCCTTGCTTTCTCTCTTCTATGTTCCCAGATCAGTAGGAAGACCTCTGGGTGAGCAGCCTCAGCTTAAGTGCCGGTGTGCCCACCAACAGGCTGTGTGACTTTGCACAGGTGCTCTTCCCTCCTGTAAAGAGAGGATCCTCATGGGGCAGAATCTCACTCTGCAAAAAAGGCCCCACCCGGCTCACACAGGCACATGACCCCAGGTCCACCACTGCCTCCCCTCGCCCCACCTCCTCCACGCATGCGCCTGCTGGACTGAGGTTGGGCACTCACTGCCCACAGCTTAGAGGGACCCTGCCAGGAGGACCAGTGCGATCACCACTGCAGGCAGGTGGCTTCCGAGGTTTGACTTGGTGAAGAGTGATCCAAGCGGTTTTTGCAAAGGTGGAAAATCAATCTCAAAATAATGAGGCCCCAGAAAAGTCCACATTTAGGAAGGAAGCTGCTTAAGAGGAGCTTGGCCAAAGACAAACGAGGTGGGACTTTAGCCAGCTCCTTTCCTGAGAGAGGGAGAATGCAGGACACCACCCCAGCCTCCTTGCCAGCCCCTTGCCCAGGCCACCTGCTTCCCTAGCCACCCACCAGGGCAGGACAATCGCTTCCTTTGTGGCCAGTGGGCTTCATTTTCTGGATTCCTTGGAGGTTCTTTTTCTTACTGTAAATTAATAAATTGTTTTTTTTATTTTCTAAAAGAATCGAAAATTAGAAATTCCAAGATATGATGGTATTCATCAAGAAACTAAAGGTGACTAATCGTTCCTAAAAAATGAAGGGGGCTGTTTCCAACTGCCAGGTCCTGGTGACTAGGAGCCTGTGCCTGGGCAGGAAATACTGACTCAGGAAACCTTCCAGGGTGGAGGCACTGTGGGGGTGAGGGCCACGGGGAGGCCAGGGGAGGGAAAAGTGTCAGGGATGGAGGGATGGAGGGGGTGGGAGGTAAGAGTGGGGAAGGAAGAACGTTATCTCAGAGCAGGTCCTGAGGGGGTGCCCACTTGCCCACCTAAGGCTGTGCCAGTGAGCTTTTTACCCCAGTTCTGGTTACCCCAGTTACTCAGCAGCTGCTCCCTGAGCCCACAGAGATGCTCCTCAAAGCCCAAGCAATGCCAGGTCCCTAGACCCTATTGGGGACCTTCTCCTGAACTACCCAGGAACCTCTCACTAGGCTGTGGGATGGATGAAGAAACCTGGACGTGCCCAACAATGCACACAGCACGCAGTCTGTGCGGATGTCAGAACACGACCTGGCAAAATCCAAAACCCCACAGTCAGGTGGGCTTGAATTAAATCCAGACAGTCTGCAGAGATCCAACATTTTGGGGTCAAGTTTCTACCCAAGACCCATTTCAGATTGTCTCCATGGTGGCTTGGGTGGGGATCCCTTAAGTAGGTCACCAGTGGCTGAGAACCTCTGGCGTCCTTGCCCTAGGCCGACCAGCACTGGAAGAGACAGGGACTGATGGAGAATGCAGTGGGGGCTGTGTGGCTGTGGAGGACTGTGATGAGGAATATCAAAGGCCATTTAGAACCAGAGGGCCTTGGAACAGCTGTGTCCTATAAAAGGCCCCTTTTCTTAGAGCACGTCTCTAAGGCAGAGACCCAGGCAATACCAGCAGCAGCCACTACCCTCGCTGACAACAAAAAGCCAACATGCCACTCAGTGAGCACTCTGCCCAGTAGTCGCCCTGGGGTCACCACACCCCTGTGCTGTGGGCTCTACTTCTGGTCTCCTCTAATGTCAAGGGTGCTGAGGTTCTGTGAGGCCAGGTGCCTGCCCACGGCCATCTCTGGCAGCGCTGGCTCTGGGATTTGGCTGCTGGGACCCTGAGAAAGGATGTGGCCAGAAGACAAAGGAACAGCATCTTTACATGGCTGAATGATGGAAACCTAGAATTACATAGCCCGCAAAAATGCCCTTCCAAAATAAAGGT